AAAAAAACGCTGCACTAAATTTTTGGCGAGGGGGGGAAAAAATAGTGTTATTGCACAATGGTGAAACAAAACATCTTCTAACGTTGTCATCTTTGTTTCAGAACACAATTTCCATGATATGGCTAGAAACTCTAGTCTTTTGGGCGAATGGTAAAAAAGTCATCAATGCATTTCCATCAATTTGGTGTTATTCCCTGGAAAACGTAAAAATACATCTGGAAATACTCTATTATACTCCACAACAACTGTAAATGTCACCTCTTACTTTTTTTCCGTTTTCATTAAGATATTTTGTTTATTCTTCAGTATTGTTACTTTGTAGTTCTGTTATTTTTTCTCACCGAAATTAGGAATTAGGGGGTAACACATATTTTTTTTTTATTGGCTACAGGTGAAGATCAAAATTTGGGACAAATATAGTTTTTATTTTGTGAAAGTTGACTTTGGCATCAAAGTGTAAAAATTACATTGTAATGACTCAGGAACAGATTAAATACATCAGAGAGCTTTCATGGTCGATATATTGTTCATACACTATTTCGAGCTAGATAAGCCGCCTTACTTTTCACATATCAATACACTATGGTGATCAGGTGATATATAACACCATTATAAACAAATGTTTCTTTCTTGTGGAACAAAGTATCTCAAAAACGTCACCGACATGTTGATTCATCTTTGAAATGTTTTTGCTTTGCTGATAATGCTGTATACTTTCTTCTCACAGCAATTTTCCCGGTATTTTTGGTAATCAGCAGTCACATTATTTGGAAGTCATCAAACAAATGCTATCACGATGCTTAGCAGACCAAGACAATCCTCAGGTTGGAATAAAGTATATTTTAAAGCGAGGAAGTCGTCACCTACGTATGCATCAGTCAGCCATAGCATATCATTATTTACAAACCCATGAGCCTTTGCATTCTTAGCATGTGTTATCCTCGGGGGGGGACTCTATTCCCGTCCGTGCGCAGGTGACGAGCCTCTCGCTTTAAATCATTTTTGTTTGGTGGCTAAGTTGGGAGAATTGAGTTATGAGCGTATCGTACCATCACTTATGATTCCTTTGATTTGTCCTGTTATCCACTTAAAAATGACCTGCTAATTTTACTTCAATGCCTGTGATTTGTCTGCTTCAGTGAAATGTTTGTTATTAATTTCTATGCAAAACTGTTGTTTATTTCATCAGGTGCGTATTGCTGCAGGAAAAGCTACAATTGCATTTGTATTGGCTCAAGAAAGTAATTCTTCAATGGGAAAAATGTTCTTGGAATTGCTTCCTGCTATTTTACAGGTATGATAACAGTTTAGTTTCTCTAATCACTTGAATTATTGTGTTAAGGAGAGCTTGCTAGCCTTTTTCAATACAGCAGACTTGAGATATTTTAAATTCCTAGTTGTATGTTTAAAAATATACTTAATTGCATGTATTTTAAGTTTTTTCAGACAGTAAATCATCAAACGCCAATCTGCATGTTATCTTTCTACTCTTGTTGACCAATACATACAAATACTGATGTCTGTTGAGTCGTGGGTTATATATGCAGTAACAATGTGTGCTGTTCACTCAGCATACAGTCTTCTTGGCTTTCCAAACACGTGGTATTCAATAGACTCTGTTTGCACATGCACTTGCAATTAACACCCAAGAAATTGTCAGGAGAGACAGCAGATCTTCAATGTCTGGAAATGTCACCTGCTTGTGCTCACTGTAAAGTTTTGTGGAGCGATATGGTGATGAAAATAAATTTCTGAAAGCTGGGAAACTTCATCTGTCCTGAACTTGTTTGTATTTATATAAAAAGAGCATTGTTAACATGCAAGTACTTTAAGTCATTCAACTTAATGCATTTCTTTTTTATTTCAGGCATTAGCAGACAGTGTTACAATGCAAGAGGATGACTCTCTATTGAAGTCCCTGATAGAACTAGCCGAAATGCAACCCAAGTTATTAAGATTGCAACTTGAAAATATATTAATGCTCAGCTTAAAGGTTTGTTGATGATTTTCTAGATTTACTGGTTGAGATTATCCTGCCAATCTGTAAAGTTTATTTCTTGCCAAAGTCACCGTACACCAGATATCATAAAGTAGAAATTATATTTTGTCCTTATTCATTTTGAGTGTAAGAATGTACAGCATTTTGTGGACTTTCAAGGCATTGTTGGATTTATACAATACAGAACTAATATGTGCAAAGCTGGTACAGTCAATTAACTGCCTTAAACTGCGCATCTCTGCTGACCTGAAGTTAACCCATGCTGATTTGACCACTCTTTCACATGCATGGTTACTAAGCAGCCAGGGAACTTCTTGAACCCTAAACAAGTCTATTGGAAGTTGTCCGATTTGTTAAAAATTCAAAGAAATCATAGAAAAATAAAGTATACGAAATTGTTAGCAAAAAAATGAAACAAGGTGACGATTTCATTATTTCAATATTTCATTGTTTTGTCTATTGCAGATTACTGCTGATGGTAGCCTCACTGATACCTGGAGACAGCTGGGACTTGAAATAATTGTCACTATCTCAGAGACTGCACCTGCTATGATCAGGAAACATGCATCAAAATATGTGCCTCTCATCGGTAGGTTTCGTTCTTCACTGATTGGCACTGAGACTTACTGGATTGGATATCACTACCTCAACTCCTTGGTCAAGTTCGTTTCCAGCTGCTGAAAGCGACATTATTAGTCTTTGTCAGCTACAGCCTGATAAAGTGGCCAGCAGGGTTCTCCTCGGTTTGAAAATTAAACAGGGCGCGCCAATGTGAAGTGTGCGTAGCACATTTGTAACGTGCATCATTGGCAAGGATGTTGAAAAATAGAAACCAAAAAATATTAA